ATCGGTTATGCTTAAAGACGGCGGGGTTGTCGGAAGTATCCCTCATATAGCATTTCTGCATTTATATATGTAATTTAAATAGTAAAATTCCATTATTTTTCTAAAAATCATGAACTTATATTTTCAGATTTAAAGCTGGGAGCTTATTTTTACTTTTTAATTAAAACAATTATTATTACTCAGGCTGAAAATTAACCAGACCATAATCAAAAAGTAGAAATTTGATTGGCAATATTTATCTGGTAAACGTGGCAACGTTGCATTTATTTCTAGAAGTGTGTGTAGACAACACTATTTAGAAGTACTTACAACGTTGTCACGTTTACGAGATACATTTTCTCAAATATAAAATTTCGATCTGGTAATATTCAGCTTGAGTAATACTAATTGGTTTTATTAAAATTTAAAAAAGGTAAGGCTTCCAGCTTTATCTGAAAATATAAACACATTATTTTTAAAAAATAATATATTTTTATCATGTAAATTTCTTTAATAAATGCAGAAGAGGAATGGTGGTGCAATGATACATCCGACAACCGCGCCCTTTTAACTATTAACCGATACGAGACCTGAAGGGAATTAGGGGTTTTCTGACGCAATGAGTCACTGAAAGAATTTTATGGGAATTCTCTTACTTCTAGCAAAAATATTTTAACGGGAAAAGTACCACCAGACAAAAGAGTTTAATATCTTTATAAATATATAAATAATTCACATTCAAAAATAAAAGTGAACGGGCCCATTAAAATATGTATATGTGTATATTTAATCACTTAAATAATACACATCATTTAATCACTAACCTTACGTAAGTTTGGAATTGCAATTTTGCATTTATTGTTAACCATTTGAAATAAATAATTATATTAAAATTTTTGTACTTACTACTTTCAATCTCACTTCTATCAGAAGACGATGATCTATATTTTAGTCTCCGCTTAAGTTTCGCTACCTCACGGTATAATTTTTCATATTTTGATTTCGGTGACATACCTATCACTTTAGTGTCACAAAATTACAGATTTGACATATGTTTTAAATAAAACTACAGATAGATATTTCTTGATTTTTGGAAAAAAAATTGCGGATTATAGTCAAAATTCAAAAATATGGCCTTTCCAAGTTGGAACTATTTTTTATTGCGGATGTTGAAAACTACCTATTACTTGATAAAAGCGTAGTAATTTAGATTCGCGCATGCTCTCTTGTGCGTTTGTCGAGAATTTGATTTTATTTATCGCAATTTTATTTGTGTTTTTATATTTTACATAGGTTTTAAGTGTTTTTTTGATTATTTATTAAAAACTATTTATGAGCATATTGCATTTTAAATCAATAAATATTTCTAAATTTTATGTTGTGTTTACTGCAACAATCAATAGATAAGGCAACTTAGGTTTGTTTGGTAGCGATATTAAGCTGAGAAGCAAGAACGTATATTCTTTGATCTGTGTCAGTTGGCCGGGAAGCAAATTATTTTAAAAATTATGTTTTCATTACAGGCGACATTCAATTAATTTTTTACGTGGGTTCGGTTACGTATTTTTTTTTAATTATTTTGATATTTCCATAATGACAAATATTCAATTTTTTTGTTAGTGATGTTTTCTTGTGCAAATATGGAAAAAATGTTTCATGACGAAAAATATTTTTTTTTTAAGTTGTTTCTCTCTGGTAAACATACTGCATTTTTCCAAACAACAAAATATATGGTTTTAGATCACTTCAATTTTTCATTATATTTTTCTCGAAAAATGCTGTTTTTCTATTTTTTTTGCGAAAATTTACTATAGAAACTAGTTATTTTTGGGTGTTGACAAATTTTTGCAAAATTCGTACCTGAACTCGGCGAACAATTCACTCATGTTCCAAAAAATAAAAAAATTGAGGTTAGAAAAAAATGGTTATATTTTGAAAAAATCCGCACTTTTTTGTAAAGAATTAGTCTCTACTACATTCAAAATTGTTCTATTTTTTTTCTAAATGGCTTATTTTTTGTGACACTAAAGTGTTATGGACCCTTGATTTCTTTCCACGCCATTCTTGACTTGAGTTGGAAGTATCACTATCGTTGCTTTTTTTGGGCATTTTTTCGTTCACAGCACTATATTTTAAAAACACTGTTTATCGGTCCAGGCACGAAATTATAATGACTAATATTTCACCGAAGCGATAGCGATAGTACCAATTTTTTGCTTAAAAACTACAAACGTGCCAGGTCCGGAGCGAGATTATATACTACAAAGTGTAATGAGGGAGACGAAGTTGCGAAGAAAAATCAATATCGAATCATTGTTAGTTATTATATCAGGCACTATATTATCGACCAATGATACAGCTTGATTGACACTTTTATTGGGTGGTCTGTATAACACCCTTATACAGAACGAGTTATTAGAAATTTTAAATTGTATACATAGATGTTCAAAGACAGAAATCATAAAATATATTATCAAAATTTAAAACTTTACAATTAATAACAGAAAGAACATAAATGCAAACACCGCCACCATGTCTTTACGAAAGAATATGTAATTAGGAATTGTAACATCAGAATCGCCTATGTCATTAGAAAGCCAAGTTTCAGAAACCGCCATGATATCAAACTTGTTATGGATTATTAGTTTCCAAATCTACAATACTGCATGGTAAAGATCTTGTATTGACGTGACCAATTTTTAGAACACTTTTTAGATTACCTCTATTAGGACCGATTCCACCGTTGTGTTAAACGAAGTTTAAAATGACATTTTTACATTAACAAAGTCATTTTAATCTCCGTTTAACACAACGGTGGAATCGACCCTTAGATACATTATTTATATTAGGCATTGAATTAAAAAAAAAATATGAATAATCCATATTGTTTTTGGCACGTTGTACATAAAATTTAAAAGCAGAACAGATCTTAGCGTATGCTACATGATTTACATCATTTTTTAAATTATATTTTTGATTAGACTTCATACAGTTATAACGTTTTCTTACATCTTTTCTACAATCAATTAACTCTTATGGTTCCTGCACAAATTACACAGTTATCCTTGCGATGATCATATGCGAAACATTCTTTGCACCGGCGTACATAAAGATCTTTAAACACAGGGCAACGTTCCCAACCAATGAACAATCTTCCTGCATCCATATAATATTTTGAGAGAGTCTACCAGAACATTCAGCGAAAATGGTATGATGTCTTGTTTTATTTGATAACTAACTTCTGCAAGCCTTGGTGGGATGCACATTTGATTACAACACTTCCGTTGTTTTGGGTATTTATGAAGTTAATAGATACATTAATTGTATTAGGCTGAATGTTATTTTTAATTTCTTTCACTGTTGATTCAGTTTTGTAGATTCTTAGGTTTAATGATAACAGCTGGTATGTATTGTTTGGTAATTTTGTTGCATTCATTATTAAAACTGCATCTGAAAATGTTTTATTTTTCTCCAGTTCTTTGATATTTTCATTGAGCAATTCAATAATTGTGTTTTGATCTCTGACTCTGATGTTAACTTCTTTGTCCTTGATTATTGTTTTATGTCTGTAGTTTCATCTTGTCTACTTTTGTAGCAATTAAATTTTAATGTAAGTTTTTGTAATGCAATACATCTTATTTCAGTAGATGTAAGGTCCGAGCAGTCACCACAAAAATAAATTCTACAACAGTCACAGGCAAATACTGGATTTTTAGAATCTTTTGAATTTCCTTTAAATTTCATACATTCAATATCCATTTTTATTTAGTTAATTCATGATCCTCCAAAACCGTACTGCACTGTAATTTTTAATTTACTTTGCAAGAATTCAGCTTTTATCAGTGACTAGTTTTTGCAGGACTTAAAATTAGCCTCCTCTTGAAACTTCAATTCAATGTAAGACGAACTAAAGTGATGCTCCTGGAGAAGAGTATAATTATGATTTTCGCCACGCCAATTTTGAGGGTATAAGCCAATGTTTGGAGGCAATGAGTCAGGATGGGCTTCTTCAAGGAAAGGAACTTTTAGAAATGATTCTTACTCTTTGTGACGCTTTGTACTCGGTAATTGAGTTATTAATTTGTTCCCTTAAAGAAATTTGTTATAAACAGATTCCCACATTGGTATTCTTTTAAACTCGGAAGCTTGGTCAACGATAAAAAGGTTGCATATAAGATTTACAAGCTTAACAGGACTCCCCAAAATTATGAAATATTCAGTCAGTTAAGGTAAATTAAGGACTTAGGACTTTACTTTTAACCCCTGTATCTCGAAAACGAAACGTTTTCGGACCTATGCTTATATGAACTTTACTTCTATTTTAGCATGTAGATTATGCTGTTAAAACGACCGTCTAATTTCGGTACACCCTGTATATATTGTTTGAAGGCAATGTCAAACATTTCATACGTTATGGATAAAAACGGTGTCACTTATTGCATATGATGTCATCTCCTCCCCACTTTCCTGGAGCGCGTTCAGGAAACACGCTCCGACCAAAAAGAGCGCGATCAATTTGGTCTTGGTTCGTTCAAGAACAGTCGAGCGTTCAATTTGAACGTTTAGCTACTCTCCTTCAGAAAGTCGAGTCAAATTACTCTGGAGTGCACTCTTTTTTACCCAGTTTAGACTGGGTACATTTGAGTAAATTTGACAGAATGTAGAGTTCTTTTGTAGAAGTTGTGTCATATTATTTTTGTGTGTCATAAAGGTGTTTTTACATGAAATTTTAAAATAAATAATCTAAAATTTCTTGCTTTCGTTGCCGTTCAGAAACTTTGAGCAAATGAGAATTACTCTAGACTAACCTGGGCAACCGATCCAAGAAAAAATTAGTCTACTCCCGTATAAAATAATCTGAACGCGCTCCTGGTGTTTCCTGATTATTTTGTCTGCTCATGTTTCAAAAATCGAATTTTAGCAGGGATGAGTTGTAGGAAAATTATTAGTAATAAACCGTATTCATTACAATGTTCATGATTATGTTTGAATGTGAAAGGGACGCATTAAAATACATTGTGGAATATATAAGTAAACCTTTATTATTAATTTTTTCCATGGATTTTTATACATCCAATTTAAAAACGAAACAATAAACAATAACTAAATGAAAGAATATTTTAAAATTACAACTAGAATATTAATACTGTATTACATACAAGAAATGCACTTGCTGGAAACTTACAGAAGAGTATAAATAATTATATTATTATTACATTATTACAGTTTAGAGAGTTTTCATCATGCGAGGGCCACGTAACTAAGAAATTTTTCATTGAATGATTATACTATATGCACTAATATGGACCAAAACTCGCGTATTTTTAAAATCACATTAGATTTGAAAGCAGTTCTGGTCTGGAGACCTATAATTACGAGGTATTTTCGAGATTTTTACATTCCAGAATATATAATCATTTCTGACTGAAAATAAAAACATATCATGTAAAATCGTCAATCGTTACTATGCAATGGCGCGAACTTGATAACATTATAGAATAATGAAATAACTTGGTGCATTTTTCATTTTGTATTTTTTAGTCTGAACGTGTTTAGAAAAAAATACCATCGAGTTTGAACATTTTTAAAAATAGCTGTAGATTACTTCATTTAAATGGATTATTAAATAAAGTTACTCTAAGTTAGATTTCAAAGTAAAAAATTTAGAACCAATGTCACACTTAAATGGGGTTCAAATAGTGCGAGTTGTTAAACGATTCTGTAAGATACATTTTAATTATTTGGTAAAATGTAATTCGAATGTTTTTTCTTCATTGTGAATTATTAAATAAGCTAAACTTTCATTTATTTAGAAAAAAAACGCACGAATGGATTTTTATCATTGAATTAATATATTTCCGAGTAAATTGTTTCGAACAAATTCTTGTAAACAAATGTCACTATTAAAATATTATTCATTTGTGTAAATTATTAAATATGGTCGTGAGCTAGTTTTCTGATTCAATTCTATAGAACAAACTAATGAGACCGAAGTGCCGTGGGGATAACCCACCCTCTACACGTTACAGATATAGAACTTAAATGGCACATTTTTCATTTTTGTGAATTATTAAAAGGTTCTGTAACATTTCTTTTTAAATTCTTGTCAACGAATGTCACAATTAAAAGATTTTTCATTAGTGTGAATTATTAAATGGTTCTGTAACATTTATTTTTAAATTCGTGAACAAATGTTACAATTAAAAGATTTTTCATTAGTCTGAATTATTAAACATGACTGTGAGCGAGTATTCTGATTCAATTCTTTAGAACTAAATTATTTTCAACAAATGTCACAATTAAAATATTTTTGATTAGTGTGAATTATTAAATGGTTCTTCAACATGTTTGTAAATTCGAGGAAAAATGTCAGAATTAAAAAGTTTTTCATTAGTCTGAAGTATTAAATATGGCTGTAAACTAGTTTTCTGATTCAATTCTTGATCTAATTTTCGGATTCAATTCTTTAACATACTTAAATGTCACATTATTTTCATAAAAGTGAATTAAATGATGCTGTGACATTTATTTTTAAATTCTTGTGAACAAATGTCACAGTAATTTTTTATTAATGTTAATTATTAAATATGGTTGTGAGCTAGTTTTCTGGTTCAATTCGTTAGAACTTAAATTCTTGTCAACAAATGTCACAATTAAAAGATTTTTAATTAGTGTGAATTAATAAATATGACTGATCTAATTTTGTGATTTAATTCTTTAAAACACTTAAATATCACATTTTTTTTCATTAAATGAATTGAATGGTGCTGTAATATTTATTTTTAAATTCTTGTGAACAAATGTCACAGTAATTTTTTATTAATGTTAATTATTAAATATGGTTGTGAGCTAGTTTTCTGGTTCAATTCGTTAGAACTTAAATTCTTGTCAACAAATGTCACAATTAAAAAGATTTTTAATTAGTGTGAATTAATAAATATGACTGATCTAATTTTGTGATTTAATTCTTTAAAACACTTAAATATCACATTTTTTTTCATTAAATGAATTGAATGGTGCTGTAATATTTATTTTTAAATTCTTATGAACAAATGTCACAATAAAATGTTTTTCATTAGTTTTAATTATTAAATATAGTTTGTGAGCTAGGTTTCTGATTAAAATTCTTTAGAACTTAACTTCTAACAACAAATGTCACAGTTAAAAGATTTTTCATAAGTGTTAATTATTAAATATAGCCGAGCTAGAGTTTTGAATAAATGTTATACTTGAAGGGCTTTTCATTAGTTGAAATGTATGATGCAATTTTACGTTTTTTAAAACTTGTGTAATCTACTATATTTTTATAAATATTCAAATTCAATATTTTCCTAAACTTATTTAAGAAAATGTTTTACAAAGAAGCTACCGCGGTTTCTATTTCATTTATTATTTTTTTAGTATGATTTGCACTCTGTCCGATTTCAGAGAATCGCTCTGCTACGGTTTTTTTTTTCTAATAAAAAAAAAGAACAAAAACACGACCTAAAAAATTGTTTTCTTTAAGTTTGAGGTTTTTTCATAGAGGCTGGAACTACGGCCAGTATAAAAAAAATATATATTTCAGTCTTAAATAGAAAATATCACAATCCTTCCAATGTATGTAAGAAAATACATTGCATTTTAAACTCTGACGCACACGGGGGATGGGGGGCGCTTCTCCCGATTCGGAAAAGTTAATATTATTCTTTTGCTACCGTTACACGCTAAAATATTATCACAGATGGACGTGAGCGCTTTTTAGCACCACGCTAAAACGACGAACGAGTTAAATACTTAATACTACAAATATTTACACGACACAAGCAGTCATGTCAAGATCCGTAATATAAAAATCAAAAAATTCGATTAAGAGTCACTAGCACCCAACGCTTACTCTGTAAAAATTCTTAAGAACTCTCACTCCGGCTGATCAACACAGTCAAACATCCATACTTCAAAGCTATTATTTTGCTTTTCAGCAACCTTTTTTTTTTTCTATTGCATTTAACAAATACAAAATTTTTCGAATAAATAAAAATATTTTCTATAAACATTCTGGGACAATAAAATCCGAAATGTTAGTCTTCGGCTTTTTTGTTAGCGTTCACAGCGAAAAGTAAACTCTTGGATCTACCCAAATCGAAAAACGGACAAGAAATATATCACCGCATTCGCCAAAGCGTTGAACATTTATCAGTTTCATTCAGTATTGAAATATAAGCGTTCAACTTGCTGGGAACTGCAGTAACGGTTTTAAGTTAAAATAAATATGAACAAATTGCTTAATATTCGATGACAATTCGACTCCGATCGACCCATAAAAACATATAACTTCTTATACCCTGTAGCTTTTATAAACTAAATATAACCGTCTTCCATAGTTTTGATTCTACCATTCCCGGATAATTAGCAGATCGCTAATTCCCCAAAGTCAATAAAAGTATGTACTGTCCCTAGGAATAATATCACAATCCTATTAAATACAGAAATATAAAGTTTTGACTGCTTTTCAACTATTACTTTTTTATTTATCAACTAGATAGGATGATACTTCAAAATAGCATCAATATTGTATAAAATACTCTTAACGAAATAAGCCCAAAACTCCCCTTCTATATGTTTCGTGCATTTCAACAGCATACAGACATTTACTGTTTACTAGAAACTAACAACTCACACAGAGTATATACTAATTTTGCGGATCTCGCCAACACCAGAATTGCTACAGCCAATATCGGCTTCCGTTAAATGAAAAAATATAGGAAATTAATTTCCATTTAAATCGATAAACTGGCGAAGGTACTGACCTTAAATGACAATTTTCATGTGACAGCACCGAAAAAATCTGCAAACCGCATAAAGATTCAAGTAATCAAAGTGTACCATGAAAAAACTTCGTTACTTAGTTTGATAGATACATGAAGGATAGCAGTGACGGCCTGTGATTAAAGACATTGGGTGCAATATTATTATTTTACAGCTTTTATTTACTTTTTATAAATTAATTCTATTCTGTGGTCCTCTTTAGCAGCAAACTTATCAATCTCTCTTTCATTGAAGTTTTCTATTTCCGACACGAATTTATTTTCTATGGATGGCATAGAAAGCACAGTTTCTTAATTGTAATGCACCATTTACATTTCTACAATCATTTCTCAAATAAATAATAGATACCACAGTTTTCAGTAAGGTCTTTTCAAATACATGTATTTAATTGGGCTTCAGGAAAGTTATTGCAGAATTCAAGATGATTTTTAAACTTAAATCGATCTTTTGCACCAATTTATAATGACGTCGCTTCCAATGCAGAAACACGATGTTCAAATTGACTATTGCAAAGACATTTTAGTTTATTTTCTGGTAAGTTGGTACAAATATGTATGGTTTTGTTAATAATATCGTCAATAGTATTTCTAACATGAACAATATATATATATATTTTTTAAATTGTCAATGGCATCTTTTACTTATGTAGGCTCTATTTTCAGTTGCTGCAGTTGATTAAAAAGGATGTCTACGTGGGGCACGACATGGTGAAAAAAGTTAACCAAAACAAAAACTGAGTCATGTAATGTATGGCGAATAGAACCTGCACTGCAGTTTTGTTTAAAACATCTTTTTCTATATCTTCCATACACTCAATGATGTCTTTATTAAATTGTCTTTTATAATTTTTGCCTGGACTAAACTTTTATAAATTTTCATTTATTAACTCATAAATCACATCCATGTCTTGCACTACAATGAAAACGTGTGCTACCAAATTAACACAAACTAATAATCTTCAAAACCGCAAAGCGAATCACTCATGCGACATACTATAGTTACGCTGATCTGGCAAAAATGCACCCAAGGTGCACATACCGTCCCGAAGCCCAGCTAAGAGATGGATATGACCATGGCGAGCAAGTCTTCCACTGGTCCGCTCTGAACTTATTCTCAGCTAAAAACTTTGACAGTTTTGCAGCTCTATTGCACTTATGCACCAATGGGGGTAAAAGAATTTAAGTAATCAAAGTGTACCATGATATAACATTTCTTCAAAGATTTAAATCATCAATGTGTGCCATGAAACATACATTATTTTGACATATATAGAGAGAGTATGAAGATTTAGGTTATTGAAATGTACCATGAAATAAAAGTTAATAGTTAGATATGAAGATTTAAGTTTTTAAGCCATAATAGTATGGTTTAAAATTCACTTAACTTTTTTTATAATTGCAAATTTTAACGGTGCGTATGAAAAATTTGTGAAAAACAAGTCTATTTTTCCAAGTACAACAGTAGTAAAGTCAATTCCTTTACAGTTTTCAATCAACTATTAATTATAAGCAAAAAAAATATAATAATTGAAATATTATTTAAGTAAATTTAAAATATTGCTTTAAGTAGATTCATTCGTACTACAGACGATTAAAGTTAAATCTGTTAACGATTTCAGATTGCTGTTAATGATACTATTTAAACGATACAGTAAATCTGTTATGATAAACATTTTTTTATTTGCGGCTGGTATTGACGAAATCCCGACTTAAAAGTTATGACATCAACTGCTGAACGGCCCCAACATCACCTGAGGGGGGAGATGGCATAATGTCGTCACCGTAGCAGCAAACAAACAGCTAGACGGAGAGCCTCTTCAAGGGTTTCAAGGGAACAATAGAACTAGAACACTGAATGGAAATATACCACCACGTCGGCTATGATTTCGATTCCTACACCAAAGGTCCCCGCAAAATCAAATATTTTTTATAAAATACTAAACGTTTATGTTGCATTTCTTTAAAATACTAATCGATTTTGTAATACAGGGTGACTCCGGATTTAATTATCCTAAACTAACAAATTTAAATGGAGGGAAAATATTGTGCATTTTAGACTAATTTAACCATTCCATTGTAGAAAATACAAAAATAATTAATAAGATATCTAAGTAGAAACGTAAATTTATAAGAACAAGTTAATTTAGTCTCTAAAATATCCAACTTTTTCACTAATTTACAAACTCCCTTTATAAGAGAATTAAATTCGGTCCACCTATATATATTTTTCACAGGGACGCTCAGTATATTAATAATTAAAAAGACTTACGAACGAAAATTCATCATTCGATGCATATTATTGGCAATTTTACAAACTACCCCGAGATTTATTAGCACTCTTAAACGCCAATTTTTTTTCTAAAGAGAAAGTACTTGAACAAACTTACATAAGACATCACTGCTGACTTAAAAACAAATATTTTTAATCAGTAAAATATGCTTTCTCTTAAATTTTTGGTCGGTCCTATCTATATTAATAACAAAAGTTATCACAAATTGGCTTATTAAGATTTTTTTTTCCATATAATTTTTATTTACTTTCTAATTAATTGATTGAAATCGTAGAAATCAAGTCTATTAAAAAAATATCACCCTGAATTTCTTCATTCATCACACTCTACCCCGTACCAATATAAATAATAAAAAAAAAAAAATTAAAAGAAGAAAATTATACTATGAAAATCGTTAAAAACAAAAGCCTTTAACTTACCACAAGATTACAAATAACATATCAAAATTTTTTGACTATCAAATTTGTTATGGTAATTAAAGAAACAAAACAAAAAATAATGAAATATATCAATAAGGCAGAGTGTGACAAAAGCACGCTTTTTGCAAATCGAAGACAACGATTTTGAGATAGAAAAAAATGTATATAAAGAGAGAAGAGAGACTTCCGACGTGCTAGTATTAAATATTACTATAATATAAAAATTTAAGCAAAAAAGAAAGGAAATGCCACTTATTGCTGCACCGCGGCAGTAGGTGGCTGCGTGTACTGATAGGTGTACGGTACTGCGGCTTGGTACTGATTATAGGCAGTAGTTTGCTGTCCTTGTCCAACGGACTGGTACGCGCACGGATTGGTGGCGCCCGGTAGGCCTCTGCTTTGGAAGAATTTGTGGTTGATGATGGACTGCATGCCGTCAGTCGCCGCTGATTGCATCATGTATTGTGGGGGTAAGGCGTGGTACATGTTAGTTTGAGCTGGTTGGTACGACTGGCGTTCATAACGTTGGTTGCCATACGATCGGGAATTGTTTCCTGTAATATATGTTTAGATAAATAATTATATTAATAAATGCTAATTCATATATAAATTCTATGGTGAAGAGCTTAGCAGAAATATCTAGTTCGATCTTTAATTTATTAACAAAGTATTGGTATTTTATTTATATATTGTTAAATTTTTTTTAATAAGAGTTTATAAATTGTTCAATTTCGGAAAATAAATGCTTTTTAACACAAAGTTTCGTCTTAAACATTTTTATAATTAAACAAAATGGCAGTAAATATTTTTAATACAAATTAATCCATGGCTATAAAGGGTTCTAAGACTCATTAATTTAAAACTCATTTATTAATGGATTATTTATTTTAAAAATATACCTTATATTATTAAGCTTAATTATTAAACTGGTTAATTTCAATTGTATCTTATATTTTGTATTTTCATAGCGTCTATTTTAATCATGTTAATTTAATTCTTGTATACTTTTTTTGTATGAATTTGATTGTATACATTTTTTTTGTATATTAGGTTGTATATTACTTTCAAATAAAGATTATTATTATTATTATATAACCTATACATGTTCTTCAACTCAATTATATCAAAAACGAATGTATTAAAAGTAAGACAAGTATACACTTTTCAATGGCTTCTAAGGGGATATACCACAAACAAATTTCTCAAGAAAAACCTCTAATATAAGGAGAGCTAATGTAAATGTTCTGTACCACATTATTTCCAGTTTACTTTTAAACCGTACTTTTCTTTCTGACTCTGCCTGCCGACTTGCTCATAATTTTATAATAAAGGTTAGGCTGTCCAGCGATGGGGAAAATTTCTATATCTAACAAACTAAATGACAGATTTGTTAAAAATTGGTAAGATTAATAAACAGGTTAAGATCTTTCCATCTAAAATATTTAGACAGTTTTGTCTTTTCCTGTTACTATTATTACCAATTCTTACTTAAAATTTAATTACCATTACTTTTGGCTACTTCAAGAAGTGTTAGTCAAAACAAGTGCATAAGTCACTCCTTTCCTAAGGGCCGATTCCACCGTTGTGTTAAACGGAGATTAAAATGACATTGTTAATGTAAAAATGTCATTTTAAACTTCGTTTAACACAGCGGTGGAATCGGTCCTAAGTAAACTAACAATATGTAATTTATAAATGTACATTTTTTTATGTTTTAGAAATAAATTCACTATGATATATTAGGATATGACATGGGAAAATTGTGATACAAATATTTAAACAACTATAAATTTAATTAATTAAAAATTAGTTTTATAAAAAAATGTACTTACCATAGTTCCTTTGTGTCCCACTACCATTCATCTGCTGCTGATACATGTTATTGGGGCTATAAGACGGTTGATAAACCTGACCACTCTGATATTGGGAGAAGCCATTATTGTAATTATTCCTCTGGTTTCTCTGCATACCATCATTTCTTTGTCCATTGTTATTCTTATATCCATTGTTGGGCTTAAACTCGCCACCATTGGTGAACACCTTCGGATTCGTCCAAGTTTTGACTTTTCCTGCCGAATTTTGACTACTGGGTGACGAATTGTCCTTGCTGCGGTTCTGCCAACGATTCTTGCTACCTTGGGTGTTCTTAGCTTGCTGGGCGAGTTCCATGAGTTGAGGATTCACTACTTGACCAGCTTCTTCTAAGACAGCGACTAGATCTTTGGCTTGCCTTTGGTTATTGGATGTAAAGAAAGCGTATGCAGTTCCCGCTTGTTGACAACGTCCCGTTCTGCCGATCCGATGAACATAATCTTCGCTGGAATTGGGATAATCAAAATTGATTACGAATTTTACGTCTTCGACATCTAGACCTCGGGCTGCTACGTCTGTCGCTACTAAAATATACGATTTTCCTGAACGGAATTCGTTTAATACGTAATCACGTTCAGGTTGGGATTTATCTCCGTGTATAGAAATTGCGGCAAAGCCTTCCCTCTTAACTACTTTCGTAATATCGTCCACTTTTTTCTTTGTTTCTACGAAAATTATTACTTTATTTTGTCTGTCACTGCAACATTCTTTAAGGAGCTTTATGAGTTTGTCTTCTTTTTCGGATTCATCACATACATCAACAATTTGTTTTATGTTGTGATTCGCTGATAGAGATAGGCCTCCAACGTTAACCTGATAAAATATAAGAAGAAATAATAAATAGAAATATATAGGCTTTTCGCGCTTTTTAAAATCTGATTGACACATTTAATTTTTTTTACTCATAGATTATTGTACTGTGACATTTTATTTTTAGGTACTACTGAGACATAAAAACCAGATAATTTAAAAGTTTTGCTCTTTTACCGTGAAATTCATGTCACAATTGACTTCCTAAGTATGAGCAATTAGGAATTTTAATTTCGTTTACTCATTTTTTTTTTTTTTTTTTTTTTTTTTCAAATCAATATTGTCTTTTCACAAATGTTTATTTAGATATTCTAATTTTCCGTCGTAGTTTAAGTATTACTTACTTGTACATAATTTTCCAAAAATTCTTCTGCTAAAGCCTGAACTTGTTTGGGCCAGGTAGCAGACCACATCAAGACCTGCCTATCTGGTCTAATTTGTTGAATAATTTTTCTAATCTGGGGTTCGAAACCCATATCTAACATCCTGTCGGCTTCATCTAGTACCAAGTAAGTGCATTTCGCCAAGTTCGTGGTTCCTTTTTCTAAGAAATCAATCAGTCTTCCAGGAGTGGCAATTACAATTTCGACTCCTCTTTCTAGATCCCTAGCTTGGGGCCCTTTCGGGGAACCTACAAGTAAAAATATACAATTTAAATTTGATATGTAACCAACAAATACTAGTACTAACCTCCAAAAATACAAGTATTACGAATCATGGTATTAGAACCAAAATCGTGAGCTACTTTTTGAATTTGTTGTGCCAGCTCCCTAGTTGGAGCAAGTATCAAAGCTATGGGGCCCTCCCCACGTTGTGGTCTCTGTTGATTGTTGATATGTACTGCGGCGGGGATCATGTAGGCCAGGGTTTTACCTGAACCCGTTTGGGCAATGCCGACCAGGTCTCTACCAGAAAGAACTACTGGCCAACCTAAGGAATTAATGTCCAAAGTAAATAATTATCAATTAATTTTTTCTGCAAAACCTTACCTTGCGACTGAATAGCAGTGGGTTCATTAAATCCTTGCTTCAAAAGAATCTGCATGATGTATTCAGGAAAGCTTCCCTCCTCAAAACAGAAGTTCGGATGGGGAATATTGTCACCTCTGACAATAATATCCATTCGAGATCTGTAATTTTCAATATCTGTTGCCGACCTCGACAAAGTGGAATGATGAGGTTCATAGAAGTTTTTCCTGAATGGTTTGAGTTCTTGTTCTTGCCACATAGGCACCGCTAGTTCAATGTTGTTATCTTGAGGTTTCATCATCATAGGTTTTCGTTTGTATTGTTTTGGACCACCAAAATCTTGTACAGCGGCCATGGCGTGTTGAGGAGGTCCACACCAGTAGTTTGACTGTTTGTTATAATGTTGCTGTTGTTGTTGTTGTTGCTGCTGCTGCTGTTGTTGTTGTTGTTGTTGTTGTTGTTCACCAGCACGATCTGGTCTGGATCTGAACCTTTTTATAGAAAACGTAAATATTTAATTGCGTTTCTAGAAATTATCGTAAATCATGTTTAATTTTACAGAATTTACTATGCGGTTTATAGTTTTTTATATATTTTACAACTTGCAATATACATTTTGAAAGTTGGGATGAAAAGATGGCTCGTGCAACACAGAAATCGGCTCATGAGTTATGTTATGAATCTATGAAACTGTCAGGGTCGCGACGTCATAATAATCTGTCTCAGCATAATAATTCTGAATATTTCTGTAGATTTTCATCAGAAATGTCATACGTCCACGTGAAAATATTTAATTTTGAGTCGCTTGAAAAAAAAAAAACCGAGAGAAACAGTCAGTGAGTACTCACTGGCTACATAAATACTATTTTTATGTTGATGTATGACATTTCTCATGTAAATCTTGAGTGCAATCACTTTCTCTTGAGTTTGAAAATGTACAAAAATCACATGAAGCAGATACAACTAGTATGGGTCATCAATCATATGGTGGCACAAGAATAAAAGCATAACAGCTAACAGAAAATTAGACAAGTTACAAAGACTAGCCTGTCAATAATAACAGGGGCATTTAGAACTATGCAAACTGCAGCAATGGAGCTACTGCTAGGTCTTCCTCCATTACACCTTGTGGTGGAGAAGGAGGCTATGGCGGCGGCATACAGGCTGTTTACTAATGGATTTGGATGGAAACTTTCGAGAAAAGGACACCACACAATGACCTAGAGAAATTAAAACAAAATCCGGTATTAAGAATGCCATCGCATATAACACCCATTATTCATGACTTCAGGAAACCTTTCGATATTCAAATACCAGAGAGAGCCAAAATCCGGGAAAATAGGGAAAAACAAAATAAATCAATCTGGTATACAGACGGTTCGAAAATGAAAAACAGCACAGGAGCTGGGATCTACTATGTGAACTCAGGGAGGAAAAATTAGTCACTGACAACAGTCTTGCAGGGTGAAGTAACAGCAATAAATTCATGCACCAAAGTTATGCTAAATGACTCTTTTTTTTAGAGATAAGAGGGTTTTTATCATGACAGACATTCAGACAGCCTTTAAAGCACTGAAAAGGGTAGAAGTACAATCTAAATTAATACTTGATTGTCAACAGTCTCTCCACGCCTTGGCAGAACATAACAAGGTCACACTTGAATGGGTGCCGGGACATGAGGGAGTGTTTGGAAACGAAAAAGCAGACCTCCTAAATTACCAAGACTGTGAAATAATAAAACAATAATATTTATCCTTTTTTTTTTTAGGAAAAATAAAAACTAAAAGTTTCGGGGTTCGAACCACCAACTGGCTATCCACACTATCAAAATTTGGATAAAAAAAATATTATTGTTTTATTATTTCACAGTCTTGGTAATTTAAAATGTTTAGTTATTAAAAAGTATATACTTATTCAATGCATAGTGGCGCATAACGAGGTTCATTCATTTTTATGTTGACCGGCAATTAAACCCTGGAAAAAGTGTCTGCCTTTTTGGAATTATTATTTTTTTTATTTAATTAAGACGCTATTAAAATATCAGCGTGATTATCTTTAAATCCTATTAAAAAAAAAAACAACTTTGGGGTTGATTTATCAATTATAAACCCTCTCAAAAGTGTCTTTCTAAATTACTAGTATTTTTAGAATTACCTAAACTATCAATTGTTGTTTGTTGGCCTCTGAATCAAACACTTTTTTTGGGTCATATTTTACGACCCCTTTCTATTATGCGCAGTACCTGGGTATCTATTCTTGAATCTCAGGGAGTAGAAATTTTGAGGGAAGAATGAGACAAAAATACAAATTTTGCGCGTTGCAGATAAAGAGGCAGAACCGGTTTTCTATTCCCCCGAATTCAAGAATAGCTACGCTGGTGTCCTGGGGTGGGTCTAGCCAACACAGGTATATCTGCTTTTCCATCCAAATGATTTCAAATTACAAAATTTCAAAGTGCATCAAACACTTAATGGAATGTGTTACTAGCTCTTAGAGGTGTGTCGTTCGCGAACGATTGGTTCAAAAAGAACGAATCAGTGGACTGACTCGAATGAATTGATTCCCTGTTTTTAAAAGATTCGAATCTTTTTTGAGTCAATTGCTCGATGGCTCTGCGATCGATCACACATGCCGAGTTCCGAGTTTGGTTGCTTCGTTCATTCGATTCGGATTCGAAGATTTGGTATTTTACATCAGCATCGGCAAATTGGTCGCTTTTGTTCTACGTTCTACGGCATAATACGAGAACTCTTAACTGACAGGCGGTGGCGGTGTCTTTAATGTTTTTCTCACTTTACGGGAGGTGTATTAAGCTTAGGTAAACAATTTATGCGTGTTGTCTGATAAATAAATTTAAATCAAAGTAAAATTAAAACAATAAATGACGAATCGTGAATATATAATTTTGCGTTAACTTTGGCTATATATTTAGCATTTAAAAAAAATTGTGTTATTGTTGTTTATCTTAACGGATGTATCTATTATTCAGTTGCATTTTTTTTATGAAATATGAAACATTAATTCGCTTTACTTTAATAAATCTGTTTATAATTATTTTACTCGACGACCTAGTGGGTAGGTAGGTTAGGTAGTATTCAAATTCGTAAAAGTCCGGTTCGATTTCCTTCGCCGGATCGGCGGAATAACATCGTTCGTAGTTCGCTAAAGTGAATCACTTGAGAACGAATCTTGAAGAACGAATCTTTTTAGGGAATGAATCAAATGAATTAATTCAGTAGAAAGATTCGAACTTCCCACCTCTACTAGCTCTTGGACTATAATTTGTGTGCAAGTTTGCCGAAATTTTATAGTGATTTTCAGGACAAAAACCAACCTGACAAAAAGTTACTTGCTGCCAAAAATCCATCGAGATAGTATAAAGTAGAGACGACATATACACTATTTTGCGATATGACAAATGGACGCACTTCAAGTGATGAAAAAGTGTAATGAAAATGGCGACTTTGTCTTACTTTGATTTATTTGAAGTCAATAATTTTATATTTGAAAACTGACGGAATAAAAATAATTTAATATCATTTATATGAAGCCATTTAAAGAAAAATGGCATTTATTCTCACCAAAACTGGCTAGCTGCAGTATCTAGAGTTTGGCATTGACGTAAAAATGTAATGCAAAGGCGCGACCAATTTAGCATCTCTTTATTCTAGGTTCTTTCGTTCGTCCCACGTAGGAATGAATTACACCAACGCACACCATACCTTTCGTTTGGCACAGTGTAAAATATGTTACATCTTCCTGGTACCCTATTCTCGAACTCATGAGAGCGTTCCTACACTCCCCTACTTCATCACCAGTGTTGCCAGATGACCAAAATCAAATTGTACAATGCTGTAGAAAATGGCCGTGTTCATCGTCGTCAAACATGTTTTAAAAGCAAAGAAACATGTTTCATAAGCGGTTGGAATGACGCTGAACGATCATTTTTGTTTACGATTTGTTTTCTCAACCTCAAATCTGTCAAAAAATGGAATGGCATTTGGTTGGCACAAAGAAGGTTATGTGAATTGTTTACTTTAGTATTTATTAAAAAAATTTGAGTTTAATTGATTTGTACAGTGAATTAGAGTTTATATAAGTACCCTTCTGAAAGTGGTTTTGGCAATTTTACGGCGAAAAACCTACAACTTGTATTATTTTGGGTTGTAAAGTCATGATGTTTTTATTGCCTCTATGGATCTTGAATTCTACATACTTAGACTAATCAAAGAAATTGTAATAGTAATTTTATTACAGGTAAAATACATTTTTTTGACACACAAATAAAAACATACTGTAACTAGATCATACTTTGAAGAGCAGAATGAGAACGCTATTTATTGTGTATTGTGTTTAATCAACTGTCTGGTCTGCACCAATAAATTAAAGTAAAGGAACTCATGATACTAATAACACATCTCAAAAAGTGATATTTTTACATATACCAAGGATACATAAAAGTGTATAATAATAGAGACATCAAGTATGACTTTCTTATTTTTAGGGAAACAGAGTTCCTTCGAAGTTAGTAATCATTTAAACTGGACTCCAGCCCAGAACTTGAGGCATGTGTCTCAAACCAGTTAAAAACTAACTGAATCGAAAAAGGAGGAAGAGATAAAAATGAAAATCAACCTGAAGTAAACTTTTATTTTTGAGTCATACCTAACATCATAAGTCCCGCTTTAGGCAAGACAAACCCACTTTCAAGTTATGTGTACCATTGTCCCCAAAGAACGCAAGAATGTCCTGCTTTAAAAGAAAAGGTGATATGATGCAAAGCATTCTATTAAAAAAGAGTTATCTCTTATAAATATGGGCTAGTGAAAAAACTTACCTAATTTCAGGTATTAGTATTGAAAGCCAAGCATAACATAAACAAGTCACGTCAACAGTTCCACTCCCATTTAAAAACTAAAATATAGAAAATCAGCCCACTAAACAAGTTTTATTTCGCTTTTCTAATTTTTAATAAATTAACATAAAAGTATGTTATTTCACTTATTTTTAATACATTTTTTTATTATATTATTGTTTTACTTTTACTACAATCTTACTGTTGTTATTCTACATTAAAAATAATGAAAAATTGCTGTTATGCCTTTTAAAATTTACAGGCTTCTTGCTGTGAGGTAAGAAATGATAACGTTTTATTACAAAAACCGAAAATTGTTAAAATAATCCCTATCTAATGCTTTACTTATTTTTTTACAAAGTATTTTTTATGTAGGTACTTAGGTGTTATACATTTTTGGTCATTGCTAATATTCATTGAGTCTGAATTATTTTTATGTATTAATAAAATTTGTATAGTATTATAGAGTTATACATACCTTGTCGACAAACTACATACAGTAATTCTTTTATAGGAATGATATATTTTGTATTGGAAATTAATAAATATACAAATTTAATGTTGTCATATAGGTAGAGCGACTTATTAGCAAAAATTATTTGAAATGTATACAGTAATGAGGTATTTTTTTATAGG